AAAACAGATAAAAAAATCATATCTTCATTTCATTAGTAGCAAAAGTATAATAGAAACACTTTGTTTCAATATTTGATTATTTGTCATAAAATTATATAAATCTCTCATCTTCCCACAATGTTTAACATCACTTAGACCCATAAAACTCTCATTTTGAAAATACCTTCCTACCAGATCAATATATTTACCAAAAACAGACGAAGCAGTTTCCTTGTCTTTCTTTATTTTATCCGAGTCATCCCTTGGATTAGGTTTAATAAGCTCCAAATGATTTCCTATTTATACCACACAAATGGAACTCTTATGTGAATTCTCTACAAGTAAAATAGGTCAAATAATTAAATTAAGTTAAAAGAATGGTTCAAAAAGATTTCACCACCTGCAGGAGCTTGGTGAGGCAAGGAAAAACAAGACAAAAAGGACATGAGTTACAACCATTATGATTATCCTTATTCTCTAGTTCGTGATTAACAACATGTATAGGTATGGATTCATGAATATTTACGAAAAAACAAATCATTGAAAATTTCCAAGTGATGAATCTAAATCAGACTGTTAACTAGTTATGTTCAATCAAGAAACTATTTATATACAACCAGTTATCGATTAACGTTACAAATTTTGTTATGATTCGAACATGACTAAATTGATGGCATGAAACTGATCAGATGATCAATTATCGATAGAAACATAAAATCTGGTTAATTAAAGGCTCATCGTTGCCGATTTAAGGAAGAATACATACCTTGTGATACTCAATTTTGGTGGCAGCATTGTGTACCCTAACGCGTTCCACAAACTAACACCCGCAAGATTCAAATTGAGAATCTGCTTCAGGACTTCTTGATTACAATACGCAACTGCGTAATGTAAAGTAAACGCTTCGTTTAAAGTGATGTTTGACTTAGTCAAAATTAGTTTAACGAGTTCGACATCGTCTCAATCGAGGGCTTTGTGAATGCTTTTAATTCGTTTTTCACGTAATCGAGAGCTTTGTGTATGCTTTTAATTCATTTTTCACGTAATCGAGTTGGACATCGTCTCAATCGTCATAATCGAGGGCCTTGTTCCGACTTCAATTTCTCAGGGTCAATTGAGGAGGCGGATCCGGTAATCGATGAATCAATGTGACAGAGTCTGATGACGGAGAGTGAAGAATGAATATGTGTGCTTATGTGTGAAAAAGAGGGATGATCAGACGATTGAAGAATTTGGGAGAAAGACGACATCGATTAATTTGGTGGAGATGATGATCTGATTTTAGTACCATAAATTTCCTTCGATTAATTTCAGCACCATACCCCCGTGTTTAGTTTTTCCAATTACTTACAAAAATGCTACAAATCATCTTGACGTTTTATTATTTTGATCTATAGACTCGCCACAGACTGCTTTGTTTTGCGGCCAAGATTGGCCACCTCGTGTTCCCCTTTATATCTATCACTAGGCGAATGCCCGCGCGTTGCGTAGAAACACCTATATAGTTGAAGTGTTTACAAATATATGATTTTTTTAAATATAACAATAACGTTGTTGTTAAATTTGATATGATAATTTGTATATACTAAATTGATATAATATATTGATTATTTTGAATTATATGATAATATATTGTAACGACCCAATTTTCACATCAAATTTTTTTTTATTTAAAAACGTTACTTTAGAAAATATTAATAACTAAAACATCATTCGATCATCCATAATATAAACTGAACCATGTCTGAAAACCAAAACATACAACTAATCAGAATATCAGAGTATCAATCCCAGAAAAGCTCGTAAATGCGGAAACCGAAGAGTGTGCGTGTGACATGCTGCTACCGCGCCGGCTCCTTTCCCCTAGTTGAGGAGGTACCTGAAACCAAAACTGAAACCCTAAGCACAAAGCTTAGTGAGCTCCCCCCATAATACCCCATACCATGCAAGCATATAACAAACAACATTCAATTAGGAGATACGGGCCACGCCCACACTCGTGAAGATACGGGCCCCGCCCACACTTCGCTTTCTGGGAGATACGGGCCACGCCCACACTCGTGAAGATATGGGCCCCGCCCACACTTCGCTATCTGGGAGATACGGGCCTAGCCCACACTCCACTCTCGGAGAGATACGGGCCTCGCCCACACTCAACCGCCAACTCATATCATACAAGTATCGCACAGACAACAAGTGAAAATAATTCTATCATACTGGCATATATCATAATCAACTCAACTAAGAGATACGGGCTCGGCCCACACTCTAATACTAACGTCTCGTCTATACGGGCCGGCCTTGGTGCCTTAGACCCGTTACTACTAGAAGGAAACTCACCTCGAAATAGCTGCTGGTCTGTGTGGGAATTGATCACCTACTACTGCTGCTGCTGCTCCGGAAACTCCCTGGCTGTAATTCCCACAATATACTTAATCATACACTGCTAACTGTCCTTTGGGTAAAAAGACCATTTTACCCCTGGTCTATCCCTAAGTCAATTCGGAGTCAACTTTTAGTTGACCCGACTCGCCGAGTGGATCTCCACTCGCCGAGTCCCTGTCCAGACAATTGTCTTGGGTCCCTGATTCTACTCGTCGAGTTAGGCTATGACTCGACGAGTTCATCTTCTAAACTGACATTCAACTCCTTCATCCTACTCGCCGAGTTGTATGAACAACTCGTTGAGTTCATCTTCATCCGCAGAACACATATGCTAAGACTCGCCGAGTTGTATGAACAACTCGCCGAGTCTGTTCTTGATCTATGAAGATTGCCTTGGACTCGCCGAGTCAGGGCATTGACTCGCCGAGTCCTAACATGGGTGAGTTCAGCTCCCAACTCACCGAGTCACCCCCTGTGACTCACGGCTCAACTCGATACATCATGAAGGGACCAATTCTAAACTGACATTCAACTCCTTCATCCTACTCGCCGAGTTGTATGAACAACTCGTCGAGTTCATCTTCATCCGCAGAACACATATGCTAAGACTCGCCGAGTTGTATGAACAACTCGCCGAGTCTGTTCTTGATATATGAAGATTGCCTTGGACTCGCCGAGTCAGGGCATTGACTCGCCGAGTCCTAACATGGGTGAGTTCAGCTCCCAACTCACCGAGTCACCCCCTGTGACTCACGGCTCAACTCGATACATCATGAAGGGACCAATTCGGTGACTCGCGACCAGACTCGCCGAGTCGCCGCCATGCATCCACCAAATACACCGATTTGCTCGATTTCAGTCCATGCCATTCATAGATCTGGACTTCTAGGACACAAATCACACGTAAAGTTTCCAACTTTACGTGTGGATATTCACCAATATGGATTTTAGGGCTCAAAATGCCTTAAAAGGGTAGATCTAGGGCTAACAAGCAACATGGGGCCATAAAGCTAACAGATCTGAGCTCCTGGAGCTCAATCTTGCCTAGATCCAGAGGCCAAACATCTTAATACGACATATAATGCACATACAAGCTTGGGGATTTGACCAAGAAAGACCCAAATGAAGTTTTAAGCATAGAATCATGGGGAAAACGGGTTATACCTCAAAGGAACTGCTGGAAGAACACAATAGTTGCTTGGTTGGCTTTCCTTCTTCTGGATCTACTTCTTTCCTCCTTCAAAATCTTCAAAAACACCCACAAAAGTCTCAAACTCTCAAGGAACGGCTTAGGACGAGGTATACAGGGCTCTAAGGGTGAATGGGGGCTGGCTTGGGGCAGTGAAGTCGTTTAAATAGGGTGCAAACCCCTGAAACTTAGGGTTTCATCCAACAGCGGTGACTCGTCGAGTCTAGGATATGGACTCGCCGAGTCACCAACTTAAAACGTGACTCGCGTCTCTACTCGGCGAGTCGGACCCATGACTCGCCGAGTCCAAGGCTAAAATGAGAAATGTTTGAATAAAATTTACATACCAGAAACCAGGTGCTACATATATACATTTATTATAACTTCATAATCTCAATCGTTTGAATGACTTCTACCTGCAAGTTATACATGAATAAAATTAAATATAATATATGATTTGATGTTATTTATAGTTGTTTTTATTGTTAATTAATTTTTTAAAACTTATTTGCTTAATGTTTTAATTTCTATCATTATAATTATTTAAAACATCAAACATTGTTTTTTTATTTTAAATCTAACAATATTATCATTTATATAGAGTTATTTTTAACTATTGTTATTGTAAGTTATTTTAAACTATTTATTTGGAAACTTTTAACGATTATAAAAATATATTTAAGAAATATTTTAGTTAAATTGAAATTACAATTTAGTTTTTGTTTTAATCACTACAATTTATCACTTTTAACTATTTACAAAATATTCTTTTGTTTTTTTAAATGGAACTGAAATTTATATTTGAGTTGACATTGTAATGTACAAAAATACCTATATAGTTGAAGTTTTTACAAATATATATTTTTTAAAATATAACACTAATGTTGTTGTTAAATTTGATATAATAATTCGTATATTAATTTGATATAATATATTGATTATTTTGAATTATATGATAATATATAAATCTATTATAACGTCATAATGTCAATCGCTTGAATGACTTCTACTCGCGAGTTACACATCAATAAAATTAAATATTATATATGGTTTAATATTATTTATAGTTGTTATTTTTAACTAATTTTTTTAAAATTTATTTGCTTAATATTTTAATTTCTATTATTGTAATTATTTAAAACATCAAACATTATTTTTTGATTTTAAAGGTAACAATATAATCATTTATATAGAGTTATTTTTAACTAGTGTTATTATAAGTCATTTTAAGCTACTTATTTGAAATTTTTTAATGATTATATAAATATATTTAGGAAATATTTTAGTTAAACTAATATTACAATTTAGTTTTTGCATTTATCACTATAAATCTACCTTATCATTAACCGGACCTAAAAAGACAAATTTACCCTTATCAATTTCTTTTTTGATTTTTTTTGGTTTGTTTATATTATTAACAATTAAAAAATAAAATAAAATGGGGCCTCTACCACAAACCCTGAACATCTACTATACCACCCACACCCTTCGTCACTTCATCTTCTCCACCATCCAGCTGCATCACCTCCGTCATTAGAGGTTGACCAAGATACAACATAGAATTCTTAGCTATAATTGCAATCTCTCTAAAAATATTGATAGCAGATGCAGAGCTCCTAATTATCACCACAACCTGACAACTAATTACTCATCTATTAATTTTTCTCAAATTCCATGTTTGAAAAACCTAAGACATACAAGAACAATGATACATGTTCTCACAAGGGCTCCGGTGTACGGTATGCGTATATGAATCTGTTTCCTCGGCTACCGATCGGTACCTAGTAAGAACCAAATCTCGTTTAAGATTCTTCTGATTTCAATTTTATTGAGAATTTGGGGGTGCATAGTTTCAGTTTAATGATCATGAATTAACCAAAAGGGTACTGAATTAAGAGAAGAGGAATGAATACCTAGAATCTATGCAATTCAGGGATCTGTATAATGTCCTGTACAAACAACAACACCATCAAAATCTTCATTGAGATGATGTTCTTCTTTTTCTCTTTATTGATCTCACTTCCCTCTTCCAAAATTCCCCAATAGTTTTCGGAAAACCACCAGTTTTCCGATTTTGAGCACTGAAATTATCATCTCTGGCTAGAATTGTCGTATACTTTCCGATCACCATTAGTCTTCCGAACTCTGTTCTAAGCATAACCAAAGTACGGTTAGAGATGGGGATATCTTGGACAAATAGTGATGTAATCATGGTAGTGATGGAAGAAGGCTTATATATCGGAAGCTCCATGAATCCTTGGATGACTACGAACATGTAAACTCTACCCCTATACAATATACTCCCCTTAATCCCAATCTTGACATCCGCACCACTCAATCCTAATGGATTAGATCAGGATGAAGGGGAAACAAAGCAACCATGACCGAAGTTGTCGAATAAGGAAGAACCAGAATAGTCGGTGACCGGATTTGCACGAGGAGGAAGAAACAGAGTAATTGTAGATGGATCCGGTCACGTATGAGGGAAATCTTCGATGGGGATCACAGGCTTTTAGGCATTCTTAGGGTTTATGATTTCAGATAATAAAAAATAATCAATAAATAAAAAAATATTAAACAAATAAAAAATAAATGAAAAAGAAATAGAAAAGGGCAATATAGTCATTTTATGACTTCCAGGGACAAAACGTGCACATTTTAAACATATCAAAGACGATCCGAGTTAATTTTTAAAAATAAGGATCGAACGTGCCTTTTGACACCTACACGATGGACGATTAGTGGAATTTACTCAAACTTTTGGTATTTCTGGCTGTATCCTGTGGATATCTTCCTCTTCATGCCTCCATCTTGGCTTCCAACTTCCGACCCTGGGCTCTTTCTTATTCAAAGACGAACCTTTTTGAGGGTTGATTTGCGTAGGAAAAGGCGGTCCACGTCTCCGGCTTCCCAATTGCAGCTAGGTTTCTCTCGTGTGCTGGATATTGCTATCCACGACAGCTGACGTCTCTCTGTCCCATACAAATCGATCGGCTTCATTTGCTTCTCTTCGTTTTTCTCTCTTCTGAAACCAAAGTTCAACAGGTATGGTTCTTATTTTTTACGCAGACACCACTGCTTCCATTGTTCTCGAGAAACGTGATCTTAAACCTAATATCCTTAAATTTCTCTCAGCGAAGAGTGAAGGTAGGCCTCTGTTTTTCTGTTATTTTTGTTGATGGTTTTGCTTGAAGAAAGAAAATGTCAAAAAATTTTGTTTGTGTTTGTAGTTTGGTGATTGTGGAAGCCTTGCCATTTACAGGTTCTATTCTTATATATAAGATAATTATGTTACATTATCTAACCGATGGTGAGTAATTCAATTTTGTATTCCTCATTATTAGTGTTTCACTTTTTTTTTTCTTCATAATAACTTCGGGCGTTCTTGAGGAAGAAGACTAAGAGAAAAGTTGAGATTAATGCCCCTCATCCCGACTTCCGTTTCATTCCCGCTGATTTCCTTTTCCCTAATTTTGTACATTTCAAAGCTGTGAAGTACCATTAACAGTTTCTCCCTAATCTGTTTCACCTTGGATTGCTATTTACCTTCAATGGTGTCGGATGTAGCAAGCTCTCACAGAATTAAATACATAAAGAGACTAAGAGAGTAAGGGCTTCAAAGTTATATTCATACCTTCGTTTCGATTTCTTCTACCACCTCCTTTTTAAGCTTATTTTCTTAAGCTAATTACTAAAATAACTTAAATAATTTTAGAACCCTTGAAACTTATTCCTCCATTTGATGCGATTTTGAATAATTTTAATGCTTCAAACATGGGTAAATTGCACAAAAAACATTATTTTTACATAGAAATTCGATTTTGACACCGTGCTATTTTTTGTGTCAATTTTGACACTGTGTTTTCCAATTTGTTATAATTCTGACCACTTGACCGATTAACCAGGTTACATGCTGACGTGACATGATGACGTGTCAGTTTTGATGACGTGGCATGCTGACATTGTATGAAGACGTGTCAAAATTGAAATTTTTTTTCTCACAAAAACACTAAGTTTTATTTTTTTTTTTCGATTTTGACACTAAATTTAATTTTTCCTTTCAACTTTGACACTATGTTTTTTTGTTCCAAATCGAACATTATTTTTTCCAATTTTGTTCAATGTTAACAATTTTCTATTTGAAATCGTATAAATATTTTTTAATATATTTAAACTGTATAAAAATGTTTTTTTTTTCATTTAAAAACCATAGTTTTGTATAAATACATTTTTTTACACTTAAACCATATTTTTATATATAAATATATATTAGTTACCAAAGAGCTTCTAGCCCAGCGGTACCCGGTGTTGCCTTCCCTCCTTGAGGTTGAGGGTTCAAGTTCCGTCCTGAACATAGGTGGATTTAAGGTGTATATATATATATATATATATATATATATATATATATATATATATATATATATATATTGTATTTTATATTAAATATGCAACTTTAAAATGTGTTTTGAGGTTTAGAGGCGTGTAGTCGATCAAAACTCAGATATCAAGTTTGCAACCCATCAAATTTTTACATCTTATTAGAAGCTTATGTTTAGTTTGATTTTCATGATATAACTAATGCTTTGAATGTAAGAAAAAAAAACATTTTGTATTTAAATAAAAATGTGTTTTAAACGAAAAAAATATGTTTATATGGTTTAAAATGTAATAAAAAATATATATTTATACGGTTTCAAATGGAAAATAGACAAAATTGAACAAAATTTGATAAATGATGTTCGATTGAAACAAAAAAAACATAGTGTCAAAATTGAAATAAAAATTAAACTTAGTGTCAAAATCGAAAAAAAGTAAAAACTTAGTGTTTTTTGTGGAAAAAAAAAATCAATTTTGACACGTCAGCATATCATATCAGCATGCCACGTCATCAAAACTGACACATCATCATGCCACGTCAGTATGTAACCTGGTTAACCGGTCAAGTGGTCAGAATTGTAAGAAATTGGAAAACACAGTGTCAAAATTGACACAAGAAATAACACGGTGTCAAAATCGAATTTCTATGTAAAAAGAGTGTTTTTTGTGTCATTTACCCTTCAAACATTTAGGTTTAATTGGGTGGAATGACCGGTTATTTTATAGTAAGTTTCGTTTGTTTTGAAGGTTTTGTTCCACATCTGAGATTCATTGTTATTTCCAGTTTGTCGCAATTTTGATCGACTGTGAATAGATGGCATGATTTTGAATGGTTTTATTGCTTCAAACATTTCCAATTGATCTTATGGAATGATATGGGTATGATTTTTCCATTTGCAGGTTGATAACATGACACTTCAAGGAGTTAAATCTGTCTTTTTATCTTTTACGAAACCATTTGACATAATCTTACCCCTATGGTGTTTAGTGCTTATCACAATATCGAAAACTGAAATACCAACAACGTCCTTCCCAATTTAAGAAATGTAAGTTGTACATTTGGTTACTTCATTATAAAAAACTTGATTGGTCATTTAGGAATGAAATAATTAAAATTGCTCAAGTTATTGTAGAAAATTTACCAACTAAAAAAATATTGACAATGCCTTTCAAGAGTTCTAACACTGATAAGTGATATCAACCATGTCATAAAATTCTTACTCTTCAAATGGTTAAGTTCATATCCTTTTGTTGTTAAAACCTTCATTGGTGGGTGTAGGGGGATTAGGATGAAATAGCTCACATAATTAATTTTATTATATATAATTAATGAAAGGATACTGCTACTTTTTCATTCAACCGGTTTCTTTTTAAATACAAGAAAAATCAACATAATTTTATTGTTTATTATAACATCTTTCTTTCATATCCTTTTTCTATTAAAACAATACTTTTTTTTTTCTTTTTTCTTTTGAAGGTATTATACTTTGAAAATCAACTCACTTCAAAATAGCTCAAAGATCAATTCTTTAGGGCCGTGATTATCACGATCCAAATAAGTTTCCTAGTACACACACACACACACACACATATATATATATATATATATATATATATATATATATATATATATATATATAATTATGTTGATTAAGCCTTATTATTTTGCTAGATATGATTTCGTTTCAATAAATTTCTAATGCAAGATTTTTTCTAGTAGATACTATTAAGTAATTTCGCAAATTTATAGACACTCTTCACCCGATTTAGGGAAATTATTTAATCAACTGAGAGATTTCGCATAAAAATAGGACAAACTTCTTTTGCAAAATACCTATTATTTTGAGGGGTATGGTTCAAGCTCATTATTATTATTTTTTTTAATGGCAAATCTAATCCATTCCTTAATTCTACCTATGTCCACGACGGGACTTAGGATTGACATCCTCACGACATGGCAGGGCCAAGAGTGTTCGCGAAGGAAATTTTGTGTCTCATGATGTGACATCTTGTCCATCACGACATGGCCACCATCTAGGGCAAAATCCTAATTTTCCAGGCTTCGTGTAACGCTCGATTCTGGTATAAGCTTAATTCTCTAATTATTGTATTTTTCATTTAGGACTCGACGAGTTGAAGGATTACTCAACGAGTTGGGTCAACTCGGACCGTTGTCTTTGACTTTTGACTTTAGTCTTTGACCAACTTTTACTTTTAGGGGGTTTTAGGGCATTTTGGGTTGTATTTAAGGAATTGTTTCTGTTTAGGGGTTGAGTAGAGCTGATATTTGGAGTCGAGACCTAGTACGCTATTGTTCGGTATTTGAGGTAAGTCATCTCACCACACTCATGGATCGAAGGCACTAAGGACGGCCCATTAATGGTTACGAAATGATTTGTATGGAAATATGTAATTGTTTGTTATTGGATTTATATGTGTAGACCATGAGAGGAGCCTATGGCATTTGGCAAGACCATGGGAGGAGCCCATGGCTCAGGGATATAAGACCATGAGGGTAGCCTATGACATTCCAATGAAGACCATGGAGGGAGTCCATGGCAAACTTATATGTGTTTATGTGTGTGCATGGTATTATGCGATTATATGATTCGAGTGTTTTGGGAAACTCACTAAGCTTGTGCTTACAGTTTTATTGCATGTTTCAGGTACTTCTGATAAGGTCAAGGGTCCGGCTTGATGGCGCAGCATGCATTCCCCCCGTGGTTTCATATTTAGTTTTTGTACTCTGAATTTTAAAATGATACGGATATGTAATGTGATTTTTGGACATCTTGTGATTGATATTTATGAAATTAAAAGTTGAAATTTTCTATAAAAATTTGGAATGTTACACTTCGGGCCTATTTAAAGGAAGTGATGGCTAAGGTTTCTTCCACC